GATGGAGATAGCTAGATCAAAAAAGGGTATTGTTGTCTCACAAAGGAAGTATATCTTAGACCTTCTGCAGGAAACTGGAATGAGTGCATGCAAACCCGCAGACACTCCAATTGACCCAGGTCAGAAGTTGGGAGATATCAAGGAAGGAACTCCAGTTGATATTCACCAATATCAAAGATTGGCGGGAAGATTAATATATCTGGCACATATTAGGCCAGATATTGCATTTGCAATAAGTATGGTGAGCCAGTTTATGCATAATCCTTTCCAGGAACATCTTGATGCTACTTACAGAATCTTAAGGTACCTGAAGAGCTGCCCAGGGAAAGGATTATTTTTCAAAAAGGGAGTCAGTAGGAAAATTGAGGCCTATACTGATGCAGATTATGCTGGCTCAATACATGATAGAAGGTCTACTTCTGGATATTGTACCTATGTATGGGGAAATTTAGTAACCTGGAGAAGCAAGAAACAAAATGTGGTTGCTAGAAGTAATGCTGAGTCAGAATTCAGATCTATGGCTAATGGAATATGTGAATTACTCTGGATCAAGAGAGTAATTACAGAACTGAAGATGGAGATGGAACTGCCTATGAAGCTGTATTGTGATAACAAAGCAGCTATAAGCATTGCTCATAATCCTGTGCTACATGATCGAACTAAGCATATTGAAGTGGACAGACACTTTATTAAAGAGAAGATAGAAACAGGAATTATTTGCACACCATTTGTATCCACCAAAGACCAAACAGCTGATATCCTCACCAAAGGGTTATTTAAACCGGTGTTCGAACTGCTTACAACCAAGTTGGGAATGTATGATATATATTCACCAACTTGAGGGGGAGTGTAGAAAATGTTATATTATTGTAGAAAATGTTACAAGATTTAATTTGGTGTACATACTTAGCTGAATAGATTAGAACATGTGTTGTTATTTAGAGATAAGCTCGTAGTAATCAAGATCCTATTTTTTAGGATCTAAATTAGCTGATTAGTTGCTTGTACATCTGTATAAGTATTCTGGCCGATTGGCACATTCAATCAAGGAAGTTTTATTCCTAAAACCTACAGAACCCTATACCTAAATCTGGGAAGATCTTGACTGATGAAAAGAAAGGGGAGGAATCATCAAATTCAGTCCAAAGGAGGATAAACCCTAGATTATCACAACAAGAACTACGGAAGAGGAGTAGAAAAGGGTTGTGTTTTAAATGTGGTGAAAACTGGAACCAAGGTCATATATGCAGAATGAAGAACTTCAAGATGGTACTAGTGGAAAATTCTGAAGGGGAGGAAGAGTCTGAAGCTGCCTCTAGTGAATCTGAAGAAGGAGAAGGGGTTCATATGGAACCCAAAACTATGCAGTTATCAGTTTTGAGCAAGTAAGGAATCTCATCTATGAAGACATTTAAGGTAAAAGGAAAACTGAAATGGCCAGAAAATGAACAGGTTGATATTTTGATTGATAGTGGTGCTACCCACAACTTTATATCCCAGAGATTGGTTGACAAATGGAAAATACCTTTCCAATATATCAAAGGATATAAAGTACAAATAGGGAATGGAGAGTTGATTCCCAACTGTGGCAGATGTGAAGATCTAATATTAAAGGTGCAGGGGAATGAAATTCAACAAAAAATTTATATGTTGGAATTGGGTGGAACTGATATAGTGTTGGGAATGGAATGGTTGACTGATTTAGGTGAAATGAAAGTTAATTTTCATAATCAGACCATTAAATGGAGAAAACATGCGCTGAAGCATACCGTTAATGGGGAAGCTGCTCTGAATAATATGGAGATATCTCTGAAGACTATGGTTCACATCTTACAACAAACAGGAGATGGATATTTGTTGTATTGTGAAGGCCAGAGTACTGAGAAGGAGCAGAATCAGATTCATGATGATAAGTGGAATGAAGTGATAAAAGAATATCCTGAAGTTTTCAAAGCAACCCTAGATCTGCCACCTGTCAGGCCATGTGATCATGCTATCAATATCAAGGAAGGAGCTAATATACCTAACCGCAGACCATACAGGTATTCTTATGATTCTTATGATCAGAAGAATGAAATTGAGAAAATTATTCAGGAAATGCTCAGTACTGGAATTATAAAAAATAGTAACAGCCCTTACAGCAGCCCAGTTTTGCTAGTTAAAAAGAAGGATGGGGGTTGGAGAATGTGTGGGGATTACAGAGCTTTGAACAAGATAACCATTCCTAACAAATTCCCTATACCAGTAATTGAAGAACTCTTAGATGAATTAGGAGGGTCTAAGGTGTTCTCCAAATTGGATTTAAAATCTGGTTATCACCAGATTAGGATGAAAGAGGAGGATGCACATAAAACAGCCTTTCGGACTCACGAAGGACATTATGAATATGTTGTTGTGCCATTTGGATTGACCAATGCACCTTCAACCTTTCAAGCATTGATGAATGAAGTCCTGAGACCTTATTTAAGGAAGTTTGCTCTAGTGTTTTTTATGACATTCTGATTTATAGTAAATAAGAAGATGAGCATGTAGAGCACTTAAGAAAGGTATTACAGGCATTAAAAGAGAACAGCTTGGTAGCTAACAAAAAGAAGTGCTCATTTGGTCAGCATAAATTGACATATTTGGGCCATATAATATCAGAAGAGGGGGTATCTACAGACCCTAGTAAGATTGAAGCTATGATCAGTTGGACAGAACCCAAAGATTTGAAAAGTTTGAGGGGTTTTCTTGGCCTAACCGGATATTACAGGAGGTTTGTGAAGGGGTACAGCAGGATTGCAGCTCCTTTAACACAATTACTGAAGCAAGACAACTTTCATTCGGGAAAAGAGGCTAGCTTGCCTTTTGCAGAATTGAAACAAGCCATGACATCTCTACCCAGTCCTAGTCAACCCAGATTTCAATAAAGAATTCATTGTAGAAACTGACGCTTCTTGGAAAAGGGCTAGGAGCTGTACTTATGCAGGAAGGCAGACCCATAACTTATATGAGTAAAGGAATATCTCTAAAACATCAGGCTAAATCTGTTTATGAGAAAGAGCTGATGGCCATAGTGTTGGCAATACAGAAATGGAGGCCTTATTTGTTGGGGAGGAGATTTGAGGTACATACTGATCAAAGAAGTTTAAGGTACCTGACAGAACAAAAGATTATGGGAGCTGAACAACAGAAATGGATAGCTAAACTGTTGGGCTATAATTTCTCTATTCAGTACAAACCAAGCTTGGAAAACAAAGCAGCAGATGCACTGTCCAGAAAATTGCAGATTAATTCTCTGTCAATAATCACTTGTATGGAATGGGAAGGTTTAGAAGAAGAATTACTAGCAGATCAGAAATGTTATGATACTATTCAGAAGGTGCTAAGCCAGCCTGATCAAATGCCAGAGTTCCAATTGAAGAAGGGATTACTATACTTTAGAGGGAGGTTGATGTTACCTAAAGGTTCTCCTAGAATTACCAAGGTTCTTAAAGAATTTCATGATTCAGCAACTGGAGGTCATTCTGGCAATTTCAGAACTATGAAGAGGATATCAACCTTATTCTACTGGGTTGGTATGAGGAAGGATATTCAGAAGTACATACAGACTTGTGACATTTGCCAAAGGAATAAATATCAAGCCTTGAAGCCAGGTGGTTTGTTGCAACCTTTACCAATACCAGAACAAATATGGACTGATGTTAGCATGGACTTTATTGGTGGACTGCCTAAATCAAAAGGGAAAGATACTATCTTGGTAGTTGTTGACAGGTTAATCAAGTTTGCACATTTTATAGCTCTTACCCACCCATACAATGCTAGGGGAGTAGCTGAGATGTTTATCAAGGAGGTGGTAAAGCTTCATGGGTTTCACAGGTCCATAGTGAGCGATAGAGATAGTATATTCTTGAGCAAGTTCTGGTCAGAATTATTCAGATTGGCTGGTACTAAACTGAATTATAGTACAGCATATCATCCACAATCTGATGGACAAACTGAGGTTGTAAATAGGTGCTTGGAGACCTATTTGAGATGCTTGACATGGAAGAATCCAAAGGAATGGATAAAGTGGCTACCATGGGCTGAGTTTTGGTACAATACAAATTACCATGTATCTCTAAAACAGACTCCTTACAAAACCCTCTATGGACAAGAACCACAAACAATCATCAGAGGAGATGTAACTATCATTGTTATTGATGAAGTAGCCAGATTGACTGCTGAAAGGAATGGGATGCTAGCTGAAATCAAGGAGAAGTGGAGAACTTAGCCATTGCTCGAAATAAGATGGAGCAACAAGCTAATAAGCACAGGAGAGAATTGAAGCTTGAAGCGGGGGAACAAGTTTACTTGAAAATACAACCTTATAAAATGCAGAGTTTAGCCAGGAGGTTAAATCAGAAGTTAAGTCCAAGATGGACCTTTTGAGATCATTGAAAAGTTGAATGAGGTTGCATTCAAGCTGAAATTGCATGATCATTGCTCAATACATCCTGTATTCCATATTTCTCAACTCAAGAAAGTCCTCTCCTCAAACACTACTTGTCAGCCTTTGCCTAAATGTTTGAATGAGAATTGAGAACTGCAGGTGTTACCAGAAAAGGTGGTGGATGCAAGGAAGAGAGCTAATGGGAGTACTGAAGTCCTCATACATTGGAAGGATCTACCTGAATTTGAGAGGTCTTGGGAAGTTGACAGGCTGTTAGACGCATTGTCTGGACTGGGAAAGTTGGAGTATTATCTCCTCTTTTGGGACTCTTGTATACGACTCCTCTGCATCAATAAACTGTTGATATTGTTCTTGTTCTTGATTGTGTTGATTTGTTAGTTTTCTCTGATTGAAAGCTTTGTTCGATTACTGTGCTACCCTATCATTGGATCCTTAGTATATCGGTTGTATGTGTGGCCCGAAAAAGAGTCCACAACATATTCCAAGAAGCAAGCTTACATTGGTGGAACAATTCCATAGAAAATAAATCAATAGATAGAGCAAAACTGCAAAAGAGAAAAGTAATTACCAATGTGACTCGCCCAAGTGCGCTCTTGTGTCCAAGAGAGCTGACACCAACCATTTCACAATCCATGGCTATCACATCAGTAACACTGCAATACAGCAAATGAGCAATAAACATCTTAGGAAAAATAACTGGAATGAAGGTCATGGGAATCTATGCATTGCACTTTGCATAACTGCTATTTCTACTAAGAAGGTAAATTTGCAACAACGGCATCTGTTAAGCAAGACTTCCATTCCCAAAAATGTCGCTAACGTCAACTCGCTAAGGCTTGTTACGAAATTATGAAGTTATTATGAAATTGTTATTTTCCAATTTATGTTCACCAAGGGGGTTGACTTTTTTTGCTTACTTTTTCCTTAAGGTCATTAAGATCAACAAGTCCAAAACTCATTAAAAAAATCAAAGATATGGACAATTGGAACGGGAGTTATGTGAGATTTCATTACTTAAGAATAGAGTTGAGAAGGATACACATCCAAAGGTTGTATAGGTGTATCAATATGCAACTTGGGTTTAGATTTAGCCAAACTGTGTTTCTCAACAGCTCTCCAAACACAACCAAAAATTGATAGTACAAAAGAATATGAAACTAATGAAACATAAAACATTCATGAAAGATAGTCTATATGAGTGAAACATTCATGGAAACCATGTGTGAAACAAATTGAGGCCTTTCAATAACAAGCCTTTATGCCTTCTAATAAAGTCTTATTCAGCTCAAGTATGAGTGTTCAATGTTTAAAATCAGAAATAGCCTAAATATCAATTTGTGATTCTTCAATATAGGCCATGTTTCAATAATGGCATTTTGCTAAATAAATGAGCGTTTTTACCAACTTTGGTGTTTTCAGTCAATGAAAATACTGATTTAATATGTTTGGTGTAGTGCGGCTGGGCTTAGCATTTCGGGCCAAAAATGCCGAAATAAAAATGCTGAGAATAGTAACATTTTAGTTCAATGTTTTGTAATAAATTACTATCATAATAATTATCAAATGTTAAAATATAAACTAGAATAATATTGAAGATATAGAGAAGGATTTTCTATGTGTTTATTGAAGGGTTGAAGTCCATATAAATATATATATATATATATTATAAGATAGAATATTCATACAAGATTCTAGAGCATAACAATATTCTAGAGTAACTTCCTAAATATTCCAAAGCGTATTCCTACATCATTCTAATATAATTCACACTCCTCCTCAAGTTAAAGCATAGATATTTATCATGCCCAACTTGTTACAAAAATAATCAACTCGAATCTCATTTAGTGCTTCCGTGAATAAATCGCCAAGTTGTTCTCCGGTCTTCACATATTCAGTAGATATCCCTTTTGTATCTTCTCTCGAATAAAATGACAATCAACCTCAATATGTATTGTTCTCTCATGAAATACCAGATTATCCGCTATGTGTATAGCAGCTTTATTATCACACCACAATTTAGCAGGCATTGATGTCTTCAATTTGAACACACTCAATAAATGACCTATCCATATGAACGCACATGCAGATTGCACCATAGCTCAATATTCTGATTCAATACTTAAACGGGAAATCACATTTGTTTCTTACTTTTCCGGGATACTAGATTACCACCAACAAAGATGCAATAGTCAAATGTAGATCTTCTATCATCTTTAGAACCAGTCTAATCGGCTGCAAAACATTCTATTCTTCTATTCTCTAGTGATCATGGTTTGATATACCTCGTCCTACAAATAACATAATATGTGTTCTGCATTAGCCCAATGATCAATGGTTGGAGTATTGTTCAACTTTGATCCGAATTTTTCCGATTCACTAGCAAATCGAGTACATATTTTCGTTGAGATAGAAATATGTATTTCTTACTCCGTGTTACCTCAATACCCAAAAAGTATTTCAATGAGCCTAGATTTTTTGTTTCGAACGGCTATGAAGAAAAATCTTGAGGGCCAAAGTACCTGCATTATCACTCCATGTAATCACAATATCATCTACATACCCCACAAGCAATGTAATACATGCGTTCGTTCGTCTATAAAAGACAGAGTGATTTGATTGATCTTTTATCACTCCAAACCGTTCAATTGACTGAATGAATTTCCAAACCATGCACTAGGACTCTATTTTGGACCATAAAGAGATTTGTGAATTCGATAAACTTTCCCATACTCCCCTGAGCAACAAATCTCAGAGGTTGCTCAATATAAAGTTCTTTTTAAATATCAAACAAATGTTAATTTAGCAACAAGAGAAAAGGTGTCAGAATAATTAACACCATAGGATTGACCATAACCATGCGCACCTAATCGGGCTTTGAACTGAGTTGTAGATCTGTCTAAATTAACCTTTACTGCGAAGACCCACTTAAATCCAATAGACTCTTTCCCTGCTGGCAATGTTTGAAATTGCGCGATACAATTGTGCCTTAAGGCGCGCCTCATCGATTTTCACTTTTTCAGGCCTGTTGCGATTAAAGGCGAATCTTATTTTATGCCATAAGAAAGCTAACGCCTTTTTATAAGTCTCCAGATTACCTAAAAAGGATGGGCCCAGATGAATTTCAAATCCAATACTTAATTTAATACTTGATCAAAATACTTGTCTCTTCTTCTGATTTCCATGCGCCAGTCCACCTCTTCCTCCCACCTCCATATTAATTTTTTTACATCAGCTCTTTTGTAAGTTTTGCGTCTGTCCATCTACCCTTCTTATGGCTCTGCGTTGTTCTTATTTGTATACGGCTGTCCCTCAGTGTGCGTCGGCATTCTTAAGTAGGGACTAGGGAGACGAGATTATATACATAGTATATTACCTTGAGTGGGTTCTGAAGTATTCTTCTAGACTTATGATGCAGCGCAGGTAATATCCTTTGGTGTCTCTTGAGATGATTATTAGATAATTTTGAGTGGATTCTAGCTAGATTCCATTTTTCGTTTAATGTTTGTCTAGGCTCAAAATTACTTCTTGCCGCGAATTTTACTATGTTTTCTCCGTTTTAGGCAATGTCTTTAATTATTTATATTCAAAGTTTTCTTTTATTCTTAGTGGAGATTTACTTTTCATATAATTTGAAATTTTGTTTCAAGTATAATCGTATACTACAATAACAACAACATCTAAGCCTTAGTCCCAAACGATATTGGGGTCGGCTAACATGAATCGATACATGATATCACCAAAAGGAAAAGAAAGAAAATAAAGATAAAAAAGATAAGCTATTATACAAAAAAGATAATATAAAAGAGATGAATATACATATAGGGAAAATGGAAATTAATAATCCAACCTTTTAGCGGTCTTCTTTTAATAGTCCGACCTTTTCGTTATTCATGAATAATCCAAACTTTGCATCTCATCTTCATTCATTGGTCCCCGACCGGTTGATGACCTGCTATTCTGAGTTATTTTCTTATCTCTGCAAACTATTATACCATAAATTTCACCTTTCACAAAGATAATATTTTGCAAAGATAAGAAAATAACTTGAAATAACAGGTCATCAACCGGTCAGGGACCAGTGAATGAAGATGAGGTGCAAAGGTTGGATTATTCATGAATAACGAAAAGGTGGGACTATTAAAAGAAAACCGCTAAAAGGTTGGATTATTAGTTTCCATTTTCCCATACATATAAAAGATAAAATAAAAAGGATAAAGTAATATTTATATATAAGGATAAAAATATAAAAAAGAAAAGAAAAAAAAGAAAAAAAAAAGAGCGGAAAAGATGATACAAGATCACTCCTTCACACGAATACCCGTCCTCCATTTTGCTCTCTCCAAAGCCATACCCTCATCCAATCCAATAAGAAGCATATCACTGCTGACTCCCCTAACCCACGTCTGTTTGGGCCTTCCTCTCCCTCTCTTCCCTGCCTCTTCTCCACACATCTCTCGTCTCTCGTCTGACACATTTCAAGTATAAACGTATATCTACTTTAATTTGGATTATATATGTATATCAAATAATGTTTAAATATTGACATTAGCAATTCTCTTTTGCATTCATCAATCCAAAAACTTAGAATTTTAGAATAAACAATTTGTATGATGACATTTTATGACGTTATTGTTAATTTGGTAATTAAATATGTTATTTTGAATGCATTTTTATGTATTATTAGTTATATATTTTTGTATATTTTTTCCCTAAGCATTAAGATTTACGATTTTACGCCTTATCCTTACGCCTCAATGCGCAATGAGGCATACACAATACGCCTGGGAAAAAATGCCTCAACTCTGCAATCCGCAATTTATCTTCTACCTCTAGAGTGGGCCAATGCTTCTTTAACCGATTGGGAATAGAAATAGAATAAATGGAAGCAATAAACAAACATGAGGTAGAAGATAAATGGTTATACGATACAAAGGAAGAAATAGGATGAGTACAAAACCGTGTATCTTTACATAATGCTATAAGAAGGTCAAGGTCTGATGTAGAGACAAGGTCTCAAAATGCAAGTATTGGGTCAGGACATGAGGTCGAAGCTAGATTTCGGGAGATGTAATCATATATGGAAGGTGATCCCATGCTTTGTGTCGACAAGTGTAAACCAAGTGTATTGGAGGTATGGGGTCAGGAACAGTAACATGTGCTAGAATTAGTGATAGTGTGGGCTCGACTGTAGCAACCGTGTAAATGAGTATTTCATCATTTTCCTGAACTCGAGAATAACCTAAGAAAATGCACTTTAATGATTTGGGGTCTAACTTCACATGATGAGGGTTAACATCTCTAACAAAACAAGTACAAATTAATATATTAGGTGGGATAAGAAAAAAATCTTTATTTAGAAAAGGCATTGATAAGGAGCTTTACCATCCAAAATAGAAGATGGTATACGAGATATCAAAAAACATGAGATAGACACGGCATGAACCCAAAACTGTTTAGGGACATTCATTTGGAATAGAAGAGTTCGTGCAGTTACTAACAAATGTCAGTTCTTGTTCAACAAATCCATTTTGAGGAGGTGTGTCGGTGCATGAAGTTTGATGAATAATGTCATTTTGAAGCGTAATAGACTTAAATGGAGCAAATAGATATTCTTGGGCATTGTCTCCCCTTAACACTCGAACATGAACATTAAACTGAGTTTTAATTTCAGCACAAAATGTAGAAAATGAGTAAATAACTCCGATCAATGTTTCATAAAATATAACCAAGTCATATGAGAATAATCAACAAGTGTAACAAGATATTTGAAACCAAATTAGGAGACAACGGGACAAACCCCCCAAACATCACAATGGAAAAGACCAAAAGGAGCATTTGCTCGTTTATTAACTCAAGGACTTACTAGTATGATGATGTTTCGCAAATTGACATGACTCACATTATAAAGATGAAACCTTATAAAACTGAGGATATGTTTGCTTCATTAGGGGGAGAGATGGATGTCCTAGTTGGTAATGAGCCTCTAACAAAGTTCTAACCCCGAGAGAAGAGACACCTTCTTTGTGTGTTCTTTGAAGGGCAGAAATCCCTATAAATATCTATTACAAGATAGAATATTCCTATAGGATTCTATAGCATAATAATATCCTGAGTGTTCCTAAATATTCCAAAGCATATTCCTACACTGATTCTAATATATTTCACATCAATGTTGCTTCGATTAGATTTAATTATATATGTGTGATGAATCTAATTTCAATGACATACTCTTTGAATGATGTGTAATAGATGTTAATGATACAACAACATCTAAGCCATAGTCTTAAAGAGTTTTGGGAATGGCTATCATTAATCGGCATATGAAATCGGAGCTAAAAAGATAACAAAGATAAAAAAAATAGTAAAACATAATATGAGATAAAAAGAAAGTTAAAGATATAAAAAAATAAAAAAGATGATATAAAGATAAAAAGGATACAAGATAAAGAATAGAAGAAAGATGAAAACAGATCAATCCTCCACCCGATTATGTTGTCTCCACTTCACTCTCTCCAAAATCACTCTCATCTCACCCAAGAAGACTTCTCTAATTCATGCATGTTCGAGTCTCCTCTCCTCCACACCTCTCAAATTATCTAACACGTGCATCACTCAATTCTGCGACGCACAAGGCCAAATCACCACATCAAGACTCTCGCATCTTATCTTCAATATGTGTTACTCTCACCTTTTGTGTGATTGTCTCATTCCTCAATCAGTATTTTCTAATATGTTCGCACATACAATGCAACATGTGCATCTCAACCGTACTCATCTTTTAAATGTGACATTGTCTCACCATCCAACACTCTACACCATACAATAATGCAGGCGTAGTTGATGTCCAATAAAACTTAGGTAGATTCTATGGTACCCTTAAGGTACCATACCTTTGTCCACATGGACCAATAGGAATGATGCAGTTGAATTAATTAAATCTAAATTAAAAGGAATAGAATGATTTGGATCAATCAAATGCATGGTAGGTACGGTACCCCAATTTTTAAAAGGGTACCGGAATTGTCACCTAAAACTTATCCTTTAGTCTAGTCAGCATACCTCGACCATATAGAAATCCTAACGCACTCTTCCATTTCAATCACTTTGTTCTAATTCTATGGGATACATCTACATCTAACTCACCGTCTTTCTGAATTATGGAGCTCAAGTAACATAGCAACAGATGTTAATTGTGTATAACAAATTAATTTGGATGAATTAAAACTCAATTCATGAAATTATATATACCTTAATTTCAAGATACGTTGTAGTATCCAGTTGCCACGCCTTTAAATATTTACATACAAATACAATATCATTGTACTTCTAAGTGATTATAACTACAATATCATAGTATAGTGTGAAACTATACTATTGTCCTTTTATGTCATTTTGTTGTTAATGGTTAAGAACAAAAAAGCTAATTTACCAAAATGCAAGCCATCAGACTAAGCATCTTCAGTGGGGATGTCTAGTCTCTTGCACGTGGATCTCATTTTTTATCTCACAATTTTATGTGTAGGACTTATATATCTTCACATTTATCTTAACTTTAATTTTTTATACCACTTTAAACCCACTTTTAATCCACTTTTACTCATTGATTCCCATGTAAAGTCCATGTGTGGACATTATTATAGACATTATCTGTAATTTGTTTCTATCTCTCTCATTTTTCTCATTTTTCTCATTTTTCCCACAAACCACTTTCTCCATATTAAATTAAAATAAGCATCCTATCGATGTCTCTCTCCATCACTAGAATCCACTATCTCATTGGAGATGCTCTAACTAAACCCACTTATCATTGAATGTCATAAGAACATCACAATTCTTAGAATGATTATAATTGGACTGGAATTTTCTGCAGCAGATTGGCTTAATTGACTCTGATCTAGTATGAACTGAATTTTAATGTTTATTCTTACTTTACAACTGTCGAAGTCGAAGCATCATCTAGTTTGAGACTGAAACAAATTCAATTAAAAACATTCTTAGCCAACAAAAATGGGAAAACAAAAATGCACCTAAAATCAGACGAGGTAGGATCCAAAGGGTTGGTCTGTGAATCACTCGCTAGCACATTATGCCTCTCTTTTCTCTTCCCTGCAATCTCAAATAATCAATTACTCTTTTTTCTTTTAAAAATGTTGTTTTTTCTCAAATGATCCCAAAGTATACATGAAAGAAACGAATAAAGTACCCAAGATGGTACTAGGGGTTTCTGATTCTCGCATAGGCTTTATGAGCTGTTTCTTTGAACTGTTGATATTGAGTTTCTGCAAACCAGGAAACAGAAAACGGTGAAGGAGAAATGTGGTTAGGAAAATAGATGAAGAGAAAGAAAAAACAGGTAGTTGTACTTGACATAGCTCAGCCCAGTTGGGGTTGAGCTTCGGATGATATTTAGGGTTTTTCAGCTGACTTGCCATCTGCCCTCTTCCTCCTCAACTGATTATTGCGGTGTTTAACCCTCCGTTCTCTAATCGCCCGCCTACGTAGCGGTGGGAAAACTGAACTGAAATCCACAAACAGACCCTGACCCGATGATATCGGTCATTCGGTCCGCAGTTTTTCTTTTTAACGGGTCTGAATAAAGAAACGAACTGAACCCAATATTTTGGGCTCATGGATCCTAAAAATCTATAACTCTGAAAAATCCTGAAACAATTAGCTTTAATATAGAATCAATATAATATACGAATATAACTTGTAAATTAATTTCTAATATATGATTATAACCATGGTGGATGAAAAAATGACTAAGTAATTTTTAGTGAGTACAAATATATTCAATTATTTACTGTAATAACCATGAAAATATATTTATAGTGACTTTAATCACATATTGATCCATAAATTTTACGTAGTATTTCGTAACATTTTTAGAAAACCTATATTATTTATTCATATGCATCTTAAACCAAATATTATGATAATTATCTTGTTTGGATTCGAATAGTTTGTACGAATAGTCAACCACAGTCCAGTATATTCATACTATACTAGGCGTCGTGAATATCATTCACACATAGTACATCCATAAACAAACATAATGTAAAATATTCATTAAAACAGTGGAAACAATATTACAAGTGTTCAAGACTTCAAGTCAAACTTGACAAACTTAGGCATACAAGCCCCCAAATAATTTATTGAAAAATATTATCCATGAACATTATTATCAATGTTTGAAAACAGAAATGGATGAAGCACAAACCACGTCTTCGCTCCTAGATCCTTCCCAAAGCAACGGGTACTGGTAGCAAGCTCAACTTCTACCTCAAACTGTGATGTAGCCGCCCCCTGTGAAGGGAAGGTCGGTACTTTGAAACATTTGAAAAGTACAATGACAATTACATTGTATATGATCAATATTTCAATTCCCAAGACCCTCAAATAGGGTGATATCATAATATAAATTGTAACCTTATGTTACCTTGTTTGAAAATATATTTACTTTATATAAAGTCAGGTGATCGGCCCGTGGGCCCATGTTCATTTTGAAACGTCTTTTCCTATTCCCTGTGACTACGAGTCACGATCATCATAAAACCATAGGTAGGTCACTATGTCATCATAAGGCTTTACCCTATTACGTTATTTCACAATAATAGAGCCGCACTCATTTAAACACCGTGTTAGAGTCTCGTTCTTAGTCACTCTACATTGTGCTAGAGCCTTGCTCTTAGTCACTCTACATTATGAATAGAGTCTCGCTCTTAGTCACCATTATGACGTGCTAAAGCTCCGCTACTAGTCATGTTATTCAATCCCTAAACAAGTTCTATGCTTAGAATCCGTTTATTTTGAGTAGCCTTTAAGGCCTGCCTCTAGTATAACTTAGAGTTCATACATTTCCACCTTAAGGTGTCTCTTAGGACTACTTAAGGCACAACTTCTCACGATCCAATCTTAGGATCAGATTCTATCATAAAATTCATATTAACATCCCGTCTAGTATTTTAATACTAGTCAGATAAATCTTAGAACAATTGTGTTCTCAATTCATGGTCATATAGCCAATTCAAAATGATCTTCCAATCAAAATATGATTGAATCTCAATACCCAAAATATTACTTTTATCCATTCATGTATTTTTTCACGAAATAAAAGGTATATTTTATCATAAGGTTTCATAGTTAATTCAACTATCATTTCATCATATTCATAACACATAATCTTACACAATTTATTCTAAATTTGTATATCATGCTCCATTTCTTTATAGACAATAGTCTTCTCATCCTTAGGCATTATTAACCATTAAAAATCCATAAAAATCATGCTTAAATACTTTAGGTAATCTCATGAATTCAACCAACTAATTATAAGCAATATAGTCAGTCATCATCACCTTATGATGTGCTAAACTGGCTGCCTTTGTGAAGCCCTTTGATCGGTTCCCGTTCTAGGGCGATCGAAAATGAAGAAGCTAGACATAAGATGAACATCAGGCGGCCTTTGCAAAAGCCAGGGGCTTTTGCTTCTGCAGTTCGAAACAACCCCCTTTTAAGTGGCGGTTTCTAGTGATTTTAACTCCTATCGATTCAACAACACTTCTAAGTTAAATACCAACACTTTATATCAATATTCTACACTTTTAAACGTGTAGAACCTCACTTGTAGTCCACTAAATGATTTCTTAAAAATCATATGAACATAAAACTAGTTAAAGAATGTTTGTTGAATTCTTACCTCAAACACTATTCTTTTCTCCTTGGATTTCCTCTTTTCTTGCATCCTTCAAGCTATGAATTTGTGATAATGTTTTCCCAGAGCTTCTCTCTACCTTGGGTTGTGCGGATGGTTCAAGGTGATAATGGAGGCATCTGTTTGCAATCAAAGCCTCAACATAATTCAAAGGATGGGACATGGGGTGCCAGCTTTTGTCTCTAGGAGACTTCCCATCTCACATCCATCCCTTCACTAATGTTACACTCCTATTCCATTATTTGGAGTCTACAAAGCATGTAGATATATCCTTAAATGGGTGTGGGATGCCCCTCCCTGTTATTCTTGCTATTTATAGCAAGCTGGGTCAAATAACACTTGGGTTGCCCATCACTTTCCATTACTTTAGTTTGCATTTTATTGAGCTTCTAATATTAATATGATGACTCAACTAAATATGTGGTAGCTCGTTCTCAATGTTTATAGGCCCGATAAATAATTTAATTAAATTCATCATCTTTTTACACAAAATTATTAACTAGAAAATTCAAATACATATTGAATTTAATTTCAAGTACATACGGGTGCGGTGTCACACGTACACCCCCCCCCCCCCCCCTAACGGGAATTTCGTCCCCGAAATTCACAATGCTACTCGAATAGGACCGCATACTGTTCCTTCATCAAGGCTTATGTTTCCCAAGTTTCTTCTTCAACTCGGTCACTTTTTCAATGGATTTTGACCATTGGATTTTGAGTTGGACTCTGCTGTCGCGTGGAGATATCTTGAAGATGGAGGTGCGGCTAGATGGAAGGTGGGTTTTCAGGAGAGTCTGATGCGTGCTAGGAGGAAAGAGGTACGATTTTCATTTAGAGTCAGAGAGTGCAACTGGGTAGCCCATTTCTTGGCGGCCCATTCTTTGCATCATCAACTTGTATTTTCTCAGGTTTCGGATCTGCCAGATTCAGCCCAAAGGGCCTATTACTGTGATCTGTTTGGTTTTCCTTCCTTTAGATTTATTTTCTAATTGTGGTTTTATTTTAATTTTGGGCCAAGTTCCCCCAAAATCTCGTTTTTATCTGTCATTTTTTAGGGAGGTTTTGGTTCGGCCCCCCCTCTCTTTTTGTATTCATCTTTTTTTAATAAAATAACGGCAAATGTTCTCCGGCATTTGCCCCACTGGATGCAGTGGTTTGCCTTCCGGGGTTAAAAAAAAAAGAGTATGTGTAGTACTTAATTAAGTATGACAACTAAAAGTACATCAAGTGAAACGCCAAAAAACATGACAATTAACATAAATTCGAATGCCAACAAACTGACTAGTTAAGAATAATGAGGGGGAAGTAAAAGTCTCCAACATGTTATTCTGGGGACAAATAAATTGAATCCCAATATTATCAAACTCTCCATTATACAGATCAGAATAGGATTCCTGCAAAACTTCTTCTTGTTTCCACCTTTCTTACACCGTTACAGACGGTGTAATATAAACAATCGAGATAGTCATTAAACAGACAATAAGAAGACCTTAAATTTGAGTATGTGTAGCACTTAATTAAGTATGACAACTAAAAGTACATCAAGTGAAACGCCATAAAAAATGACAATTAACATAAATTCGAATGCCAACAAACTGACTAGTCAAGAATAATGAGGGGGAAGTAAAAGTCTTAAACATGTTATTCTAGGGACAAACAAATTGAATCCCAATATTATCAAACTCTCCATTATACAGATCGGAATAGGATTCCTGCAAAACTTCTTCTTGTTTCCACCTTTCTTACACCGTTAACAATGTTACTGTGAACCAAACTCTCCATTTGAAGGAATACTCTTCTCTTTAGGTCTCCAGGTTGGCGGGCGGGTGAGACACGTCAGTGGTTTGCATATTTTAGACTGCACGAAAGCAGGAACGTCCCCATCCAAGTGAGTACCAAGAGGGTGAACTTTCTAACTATAAGCAGCAATTCACTCACGTGTAAACTTAAAATTTGAGATACAATCATAACAAGATAAACTTTGACGATGATCCACATCCTCAACACCACGAACACATATGAATGGCTCCAGTTGAAATGTGCAACATGAGCATGTATTGTCCTTCATATTAAAAACAAAGCTTCTAGATGTTTTGTCCACAACCTCAAACTCAAATTGATCAAGTAGCAGGCTTCATCTAGAACAGAATAATGAATACTAACAGTAGCTACAACGGTTGACGGGTGAGAAGAAAATAAATATAACAAGCAAATTAAAAAGAAAGACAATGCACATGTAGTCATAAGTGCTGCCTATTAATGTTTTATGAGTTCGGCAATAATATAATTTTTGCGATGGCTTGACGGCCACGACGTTGTATGCAAAAAATCGAACACACAAATAGTTGGATGATAAATAGATAGTAAAAGGCAGTAATTACACCGTAAGTGTGACACTTAAAAAATTTAAATGAAACAATTACTTTATTAATTAGTTAAAATATTATATTGTAGAAGAGAACATTAGTATTAACTACTCACTAACATTTTCGGCTAATTTTGTTTTTTTTTTCTTTCTGTACTTGATTTTGTACAGGTTGAGTTGATTGATGCAGATGTTGATTTCGAGAGTGCTTTTGCCAGAAAATACAATTAGTAAATCATTGTAATTTCATTTGCAAGACCTTCGCCGGTGAACTATTTAAGAAGTTTAAATTTTTTGGTTTGGTGGTAGTTAGCATGTGCACTCGGTTAGGTTAGAACCGAGTGTGACGGTAATGCCCCTGTTTCCCTTTGAATTTTTCCGCTGCACAATTCTGATAATTTTAAATAAAGTTAATATTTCTTTTGAATAAATCCTTATAAAAAGGCAAATTTTGGGTGGGAAATTTGGGGGTGTTACAAGTTGGTATCAGAGCTTTTGATACTCAGGTTGCAAAGTCTCTGGTTG